AAAAACACATTAGATGACATTTAAGTTTCTGTTTCAGTTGATATGTTCATTGCACTAGAAGTTAATTCAAAAGTAGCTGCAGCCCTATCAAAACTTCTCTTTAGGGAATTATTCATGTGCATAATATTCTAAGTTCTAAACACTAGGCTTTTCAGAAGACACTATATGCAGTGGAGCTTTTCATTATGAATTTGGCATAAGATATATAGTATATACAAATGAGAGGCTTTCCATGTTCTTCTGTCTACAGCCTTTTCTCAAATAGGTGCCCTATTCAGTCAACATATTTAATCATTCTTCTATCAAAGAAATACTTACTGTAGAATTATATACTTATTGTATATATAAATATACATTTAAATCTTTGTATATAATTAAATAGATTCAAATGATATACTTAACTATTCTTCAATTAAAGAAACGTGAACTATTTCACCTGGACTTTTAGTCCATTTAAACCAATGACGTTTCTTCATCTTTTGCCACTAGCAATTAGTAGGCAATATTTGTTCATCATGACACTGATGAAGATTCTAGGGGGCCACTTTGCTTCTCCAAAGTATCTGCCAACTTGTGAGCTCAAAAAACATTTCTTCAGTGAAAATAAAAGTGAGCTAATATGGGAAAGGTCAGAATGAAATAAATAGAACAGGTAATTTTTCAAGCACATGTTGAATTTTTATTTTTATAGCTATATGATGCTGAAGTAGAGATTACTGCTTTATTTTTTTCCAATTTAACACACAAGCACTGAGCTGTGGTCGGTTACAGCAGCTGATGAGTGTGTGATGTGTTGTGTCACAGCTATAAATTCATACTACACCCTTAAGCATCACAGGGACAAATAGTGCCCATGTTTCCTAAGAGTGAGCTACGAGACTTGTGGGCAAGATGTGAACACTTGCAAAATAGGATCTCTGCAGGGAGTTCATCTGACTGAGACGAACATCAATCACCTGCCTTAAGAGACAGGAACTCCAAGCAAGACAGCTTCTAAACGTCACAGCTTCTAAATGAGGATAAAGCTGATGAGGGAATCACCTTTGTAAAGGGGCAGAATGAACGACATAACACTATGGCATCAGTCTTTAGTATGGCATTTAACAGCTGTGACAGCTGAAATCTTCACAGGGTGTCCCAGACATGTGTATTTTTCCATATAAAATGACAGCTTTAAGGAAATCTACAGCAAACAGAAGACAGAATTACTTCCTTTGGGATTTAAACACAACTAAAGCCTACACAACCAAACAAAATGTCAAGAAATGCTTGACTTCCAGGTGAAATTTCTTGCCTTCCAGTTCTTGCAATCTCCAGTTTGGTTGACGCATCTGTTGTCAAAGTCCTACAGCAACCAAAAAACCAGCCTGATTTCTTCAAATGCACTTCTGGCATGACATTTCAGTGAGTTGGAATTTTGGAGAAAGTTCAGTGAGTTGAACTTTTGGAGAAGTTATGACAAGTGCTGTGTTTCTACCCAAAGTAAAAATACTTTGTTTTACAAATGCTAGTTTCATAAATTATAGTAGAACTTCAGAATACAAATAATGTTGAGAAGAATATATTTTATTCTTATGTCAAAGCAGGAAGGCAACCTCTTTTGAAGGCTGTATTACAACCTATACCCTTTAAACTGAAATAATAGGTCTACCTGTACTATATAGTACTGTTTTTTTATATTTCAAATTGCCAGAATTTATTTAGAGTTTGGCATCTTCTATACAGTACAGTATGTTTTACATGCTCAGGAAGTAGCTTCTATTTATCTTAGCTCCCCAGAATTATAATAAGTTGCTTCATTGCAGACTGTACATTTCTGTCATGATTTGGTGCTGCAATGCAGTCTCTGGGTCACAGGAAAAAACATGGATCTGTCCATGGCCATACGAGAAAAGAGTCCAGCTCAAGGCCAGTCCATCATCTCCTCCCACCTAGGATTCTTCTCTTCTGACCTCTCTCACATGCACCAACTTTCATCACACATGCCCATTTCCTCCTGCTTCATCTCTCTGTCCTCATTCTGATTCAGGAGGATCAGTATTCCTAAGGTTTCCATTATTCTACAAAGGGGTTAAAATCTTCGCCTCTGTCTGCTCAGAACTCCCATGGAGGCCGGTTCCTGGTGCCGCATCCCCCATCCATGATATCGAATTTCAAGGCAGCACAGGCACTGGCTTTCTCTTTCTCTATCTCCTTCGCCTGTGTCTGCTCAGAACTCCCATGGAGGCCGGTTCCTGGTGCCGCATCCCCCATCCATGATATCGAATTTCAAGGCAGCACAGGCACTGGCTTTCTCTCTCTCTCTCTCTCCTTGGGGGTTGGGGCCCAATGCTTCTCAGGGCTCCTCCACCCTTCCATCCTGCAAGGCCTTCATCCCCCTCCTCTGCCCAAGGCTCCGGCCTACCTCACCCGGCCGCATGGCTTCCCTCCCCAAGCCAGCCCTGCCTGGGCAGGGGAGCTCTGAACTCCTTCACTGACCGGGACCAAGAGAGACAGTTCCTGGGAGTTCTCTGATTTTAACCCCCTGTGTTCTCAGAGGCGGTCCATACCTTCAGTGGCCAAACCAGGTGCCAATATTCAAATCTGAGCACTGATTAATTTGAACACCACCTCCCAAACTCACTTCCTGCTCACCCTAGGATTGGTTTGAACACAACCTCCCAAAAACTCACTTCCTGCTCACCCTACGACAATTTCTTACCAAATACTTTTGCTCTGTCAGAGCTGCAAACCAACTCTGCAAGAAAGCACAGCTTTTCCTACATAACATTCTAGCCAGACCTACCTCTACAAGATTGCAGCCATATGTCCACTACCAGGGCCTGACTGTAAAACCAGCTTCTCAGTTTTTACTCTGTGTGTAGCAATTGTATCTCAGGACTCTGACTCACTCTTATGTGATAATCAGGCAAACCAACAGTCTCTTGGCAAATAAGCCTGAAGCCATCCTATTTTAAAGTAGTTTTTTGTGTTCACCATCTGATTAATAAAGAAAATCATATTGAAAACATTGTAAGAGTTGTAAGAAATCTCTACTATATTATATTTCAAGGACTTCATGACAAAAAATATTATTTATAGAATAATATTTCTCCATAAAAACTGTCATAACTACAGAAGGCTTTTCTCCAGTGTAATTTTATTAGGGATTCCTGCCATCATATCAACATACAAAACAATCAGGATGTTGACATATAGAAATGTGAAATTCACTGTACAAAGATAAGGCTCAAGTTACAGGTATATTTTCCCCTTACACTCCATGAAATAAAACCATTTTTAATACTTCCCAGAGTTGTGTTTATAAATGTTGGACAAACCACAAAATAGATTTCAAGTACATAACATTTTACAATATAATCCAAGCACAGACAGGAATACACAATACTGTACCTACAGACGCTCCATAGTCCAAGTCTGTTATCTTTACTAGTAAAAAGTTGCTACACTCTCTGAATGTGCCCAGCCACATTCTTCTGTGTACGACATGGTCGTGGCCTTTAAGGTATAACACTTTCATGACTTTTAGTTAAATTACTTTGATAGACCAGGGAATATTAGGAAGGAAAGGTGAGAATTTTAAAAGGCCAGGTGTGAATATATGCACATGGTTCCTAAATGCAAGTACATGTGCACACACACTTGCATCTAACCCTACATAAAACTTCACTGCACTGCACAATTTTTGAGATTATGTTCTGATGCAACTGAGCAATTTTCTGACAAGAGTTAAATCAAGCATTACAATACTCCTACTTCTGGGATGCACAGGGATGAGATGATCGTAACCAACTTTTTTATTTTAAGTAATTCTCAGACTTTCTAGGAGGTTGTATGGAACCACGTCTTCACAGTCCATCAGGATGTTTGCTCTCACAGCCTTCACCACTGAAAACACGTTCCACCCCCTCTATATTTAGCAACAATGCAAGTGAATAATTTCTGGTTAAGACCAAATGTCTGCATTTGTTCACTCTCCATTTCTGTTAGGCTGAATTATTACCTCATGGGAAAGGATCATTTAGCTGCAAGTAGCACAGGAAGAAATGGATACTAAATAACTAATCATTAATGATTCTTCTGGGAAACAGATTATCAAGGACAAGCAAAGACAATAAAAAACACAGTTGTTTAATTTAGCCTTTGTTGGAGGGGAGATGAAGAGTAATCCAAAAGTTTTCAGCTGAGGAAATGAACTCCTAAGCCCTGTAACTGTTCTCTCTTTTAAAAACTGGAGAAGATTAGAAGGGAAGGAAAAATCCTCTATGAAAATTGCCATTTTAAAACTAGACATTTGCAAAGGCTTACAAGAGAAAACGAAGCAAAAGAGATTCCCTGATACTGAAACTAAAGGAATTTATTTAGTAGGAATTAGACATGTGGTTACAATGTGTTAAATGCACACCTAATAAAATAGCCTCAAATATGTCTCCAATTCCTAAACATCTAAGCAGGAGAAAGAGTCCGAAGGCAAAATTCAAGTTTCTTAATTTAAATATGAAACAAGGCTGCACTAAGATTGTGGGAGAAGAGGAATAAAAACTTTCTTTCTTAGATACAACCTCTGTGGTATATTTGAGGGCCTTCAAATGCTCTCAGCATTGACAAGATTTTATGTAAGTATATTCTCTAAGCTATATTGGAATACTTTTAGATATACAAATCCATGTTACACAAAACAGCATTAGATCTTGTAACTGGGCTCATAATAACAAGGAATGAGGGTAAGTATGGTGCTATATGTGAAAGGAAGTGTATTGGTATGCATAGAAAATATGTTGTCTTAGAGATTAGTCATAAAGGGCATCAAGCATGAAGATTCATCTCTTTAAGTGTTTAAGCCTTTAACTGTGAGCCAGTAGATTACTTTGATATCAACTGTACAGCCTAATGCTTTGCTTTTTAAAAGAAGTATGAAAAATTTATTCCTTTTTCACCTTTTAATCTTCTTTATGATTTTTAAAAGTAGCTCACTCACCTACTGATTTACTTTTCGGTCCTTTTTTTTCTTTTTTTTTTTTTTTTTTTTTTTGCTACTTACTATTATTGTCTTCCGTTATGTACAATAATCTACATTTAGACTGAAGACTCAATCTTTCTCTAAACATACTTGGACTATCTTGTAAAGACTTTCTACAGAACTGATAAAGTGGAAGACAACCTGACAGATAAGAGGAAGGATCATTTCAGTTCTGCTCACTTCCCCAAGCTTTAGAACTGTACCTTTCAGAAATTATTTTGCATACTTGCTGTTGTTTCACCTCGCCCAGGCAGCCCCTACAGAACTTTTGTGAACTTTCTGTGTGTTTCCCAAACAGGGTCCCTTTGTATAGAGCTACATTAAATTCATTCTCCAGCCATAGTCTAAAAACAAATAATTGGTAAAACACTAAAAACACCCTGCATGCCCCTCTGCATTATTCTTACCAATGTGTACATTTAAATAACATCATAAGTTGTCTTTTGCTAAAAATTTACCAAAATATCTTAAACACATAAAAATATAAAAAAACAAACAGAAAAACAAACAAAAACCGAAAACCCAGCATAAACATTGATTGTATAGGCATTGGTTAGAAGAGATTGTTGCACTAAGGAGTATATTCAAAAAGGTTTTCTTTCAATATCATCAGTCTTAGTGTCATGGATTGAAAGGTTAAGGACAATGAAACTTACTGTGACCCTGTCTTATATAATGTAATAAATGAGCTGGAAGTCTGAAATGTAATTTAAACAAAGCTTCTTTTTGGTTATTGAAAGGAGACTGTATAAGCTGGTAACTGAAATGGCAACTTAAGTATGTAAAGGAAACTTAAGAACTTGAAGAGTCTGTAATAAAAACTGTAAATGAGGATATGAAGGCAGCTGCCAACAGATGGGTGCAGGGGCATTATGGAAAGCTGTCACTAACTGAAATTTTGAATATAGCCCTTAGTTGTATTATATTCATGTAAAATTTAAAAGCTGCCCAGAATGTCACGGATGAAGTTTATTTTGCAAGCCATCCACTGCCTAAGGGGGCAGTAATATTCAATATGAAACTGCTGAAACTCCGGTGTCTGGCGGATTTCGTGAAGGAAAGAGATTTGAAGGTCCGACTCCAAGAGAACAAGGAAAAGGGGGAACACAAACAACAGTAGTCCAAGGCCTACAAGAAAAAGTCTGGAGAAACTCTTCACAAAAGCATTCACCTCTATGTTGCCCATTAGAAAGTCATAGCTCCACCTCAGAGCTCTCCGAGCTTCTTTCAGTTCTTCCTCCTCTGCGATTAAAAATGCGTTTTCATCTGCTTCAAGTTCCTCAAATGAATCGGTATCATCTTTCTCATTCTCTGCTCTTGGGCAGGTATCAAAAAGCATGTCAATCTCATCTTCAACCGGTGTGGGCAGCAAGCTGGCGCTTGGATTGTATACCAGCTCTGAGATGGTTAAAGGTTCCTCTTTCATCTTCTCTTCCTGTTCAATGGCAAGATCAACATCCTTCCCAGAATCCTTTACTGGAGAGCTTGAAGTCACAGGTACTGAAATCTCCTCTTCCTTTGGCAGTTGGACACCTGAAGAAATGAGATTAAAACAATGACTAAATTTCTTGCAGCCTGGTGCCAAAAGTCAGCCCTCCAATAGGATATAATAGATGTATGGAAAGAAGATTCTGCAATAATTTTGAATATTAAAAGCAGACTGTACACAATTATCAAAAAATGGAAAAGCTTTTTGAAGAGGGCAGTATCTCTACAATGCTGCAGTACATCAGATCTGCTTAAGAGGGCCTGATGTAGCTACCAATGATAATAGTCTAGTGCAAAGCAGAAAAAGAGCACCTTATTTTCTACTAGCAATCTGATTTCTGATATAAATTAACACCTACTACATGTATGAATTGGTGCTCTTTGATCTATGATAATAATAATAATAATAATAATAATAATAATAATAATAATAATAATAATAATAACAACAACAAAAACTACCAACTCTCATTGCTTTGAGATGAATTAATGTGGTAAGATAATAGCTAGGGTTGAGAATAGAGCATGACACTAAAAAGAGACAACAGATTATAATGACAAATTCATTTTAACAATAAAAAGGGAAAAAGGAGAGGAAGGTTAACATATGATATGAGAATTAGATATCATTAGAACAGCATTCTAACAGCCCCACCTGTTAAAAAAAGCTCCTTCTCATGTCTTTTTTTTTTTTTTGCTTATCTAGTTCTTTAGCTGTTTTCTCTCTCCTCTAAATTTCTCTGTCCCCTTTACAGAGGAAACTTTCTTATGACATTATTCTCTGCTCTCTCAAAACTTATTCTCCTTTTTCCAGTCTATTTCTAACAGCAAGAAGTCTGCAAAGAAGTCTAGCTGTTTACAGCTACATCAGTACTTCAATGAGGGCTGTTAGTTGTCAATCTTAGGAATGGAGAGGACAGTAGGGCACAGACGTGCCTTGCAAAGCAATCTTAAGATACCTCCTCATGGAAATTTCCCTTTTTAAATATTCAAAATGGCCCAGACAGATCTCTTCTCCTTTAACTTATCTTTTCCTTCTTCTATAGACCTTACTGGCCATGCCACCAGGTGAGGTTTCTCATTTTGGCCAAATGACCAAAACCACAATTTCTGCTTCCTTTCATTTCATCATTGAGCAAAGCAGCTTGGGTTGACATCTGATGGTTTGTTGGGGGTTTTTTGGGTTTTTTGTGGGGGGTTTTTTGTTTGTTTGTTTGTTTGTTTTTTGGTTGGGTTTTTTCAGCAAGAAGTCTGCAAAGAAGTCTAGCTGTTTACAGCTACATCAGTACTTCAATGAGGGCTGTTAGTTGTCAATCTTAGGAATGGAGAGGACAGTAGGGCACAGACGTGCCTTGCAAAGCAATCTTAAGATACCTCCTCATGGAAATTTCCCTTTTTAAATATTCAAAATGGCCCAGACAGATCTCTTCTCCTGTAACTTGTTATCTTTTCCTTCTTCTATAGACCTTACTGGCCATGCCACCAGGTGAGGTTTCTCATTTTGGCCAAATGACCAAAACCACACTTTCTGCTTCCTTTCATTTCATCATTGAGCAAAGCAGCTTGGGTTGACATCTGATGGTTTGTTGGGGGTTTTTTTGGGTTTTTTATCATTGAGCAAAGCAGCTTGGGTTGACATCTGATGGTTTGTTGGGGGTTTTTTGGGTTTTTTGTGGGGGGTTTTTTGTTTGTTTGTTTGTTTGTTTTTTGGTTGGGTTTTTTGGTTTGTTTTTGGCTTTTTGTGGTTTTTTTTTTGGTCAGCTGGCCAGTCATGGCTTCTTGTGGAAACAGCACATGACCAGGAACAGAGAAAAAGAGCAGGAGTTCCTTTCAGCAGCAAAGCGCATAGCTGAAATGAAACCTTTTCCTCAACAATTTTCAGTTCAATAATTCAATTAGTTTGATTTTCATAAGTTTAATTTGGCTTCCTACCTAATAATTCCTTGCAGCAACTACTCTGTGCTCTCTTATTACCGCCAATTTAGAAATTCATCATATTTCAGCATGAAACTTCTTTTGTGCTGGAATGTAACTGTCTACACCAGTCTTTACATTAAGAAATACACTTGCCACAGTCATCAAGAGGAGGATACAAACCAGCTGAAATGAGACAAAACAGAGTATGAACACCAAGAAGTGAGAACAGATTTGGAGGATCTTTCTCCTAACCCTCTTTCTCCTAAGTAACAGAAGGTAATGCTGGATCACGAAACCATACACAAGTTACTTGAGAGTATAGCCACAATGCTTTAAATTACAAATGCCAAATTTTTTTAACTCTGGAACCCAGCATTAAGAATCTACACATATCTTTAGATACACATGTACTACCATTCAATTCTCAAACATGCTTTTCAAGTATTCTTAATAATACTAAAATTTAAGTTATGCCACTTACTTAGACATTTCAAAATAGCTGAAAACACACAATTTTGCTCTCCTAAATTTGAGAATTCTGCCTATAGGTCTCTCTATACCAGCTTAGGTGCAAGGTCAGTAATATATCTTCATCATGTTTCTCACCACAGAGGACAGCTGCAACTACCACAAAGAAAGGTCACCCCAATTTATCTCTTTCTCCCCAGAGTAAATTCCAGCTTGCATAAAATCCACAGTGAACATAAACAACATATATCAACTTTCATTACAACTGTATTTTTATCAAACAACTGGCAGACTTCTGACTATGGGGTTAACCTGTTGATAGAAGGCAACAGAGAAACCTTTTCATGTCAGTGTTTTTGTTTCCTGAAGGGTTTCTATTTAAATGGTAATGTGTTTCAGCTCTGAAGCACACATCAAAATTACATTCCACCATTTAATTTTGACTGCTAGGAAGAATTTTCCACTCCTTTGTTTTTATTTAAAATCATTAAATCAATGTAAATGCATTTTATATCAGTCAAATACTAGTGTAAATCCATATTTAAAAATTTAGAATGGGCCTTAAATGTTGCTGCTGCTGCAAGCTTATTTGATATGTTAAAAAATTAAAGAGATGAAGTTGGCTTTTTTGTTCCTTCATATTCTCTGTAGCACCACAACACTTTTTAATTCAAGGAATGAGGACAGCGCAGGCTATTAACCAGGGTCCACATGACTGATTCCAGCAAAGTTTCTAGTCATGTTGCAATATATAGATAAGTATGTTGGGCTATTCATATTTTGATGGTTTCAAAAGACATAAATGTAAAATCGTTATGGCAAATATATATATGCAATATAATGCAGGCCTAAGAATATCACATAAAAGTACCAAAATTACACAGTACAATGAATATTCCAGTAACACAAATTTAAGAGAGAAGAAAATTTTTTGAATTTTTTACTTTTCAGATAGCCCTCAAGAGAGCCAGATATCTGAAGTAATAACATCAAGTTAAAAGAAAAAATAATCCTTGAAATGTTCCAATGGAAAAATTGAATATAAAAGTTAAAGCAAGCCCAACTCCTAATACTCTTTAATTATTCTACAACTCTACTGCAAACCCTTTGCTTCTATTCATATATAACAATTATTTGGTAAGACTATCATTTTATATAATTTGTTGGCAAGGTTTTGAAAAGTCTACTATCTCTTTAAGAATAGTTAAAATTTATGTGGTGTTCAGATTTAAAGGACTATGAGCTCAGAACTAACTTACATTTGAGAACCTCTTCTTTCCATTATTTACTTTGAATTCTTAATGGAAGTTTACATTCCATAAATCAGAAACTTCTAATACAGATTTCTGGAATATCAGGTAAATAAACTCACGTTTATTTCTTATATTTCCACAGCAAAAGTTTGCTACACTTTTCTGGCAACTACAAAGCCAGACATCTCATTATCCTAGGTGAAATTCAGTATTCCTCTTCCACAAAATACGGGTGATTGCTGCAAGCCAGGAACATGAACAGCTGAATAAGACATGACATTATTTTGGTCATCTGCTGTGAACATGAACGTGCAAGAGGTCTGAGAGGTCTGACATAGAAGTTGTCAGCTGCTGGTATTTCTACAGGGGCCAAAACCAGCAGCTGAGGATTAACAAAATGAAGGGCAGCTCTAGCTCCACCATTCTTAAGAATCTGCAGTTGCTGGAAGTACTGCACCTCGGAAGAATGTATCCTCTGCTTATTAAAAAATCCAGGTCACACATTGTCTGTTGGCTGGATATCCTGCATAGGGCTTTTCTTACCAGAAACACAATTACACACCTATAACAGCCTTTAATATTGTGGAAAGGAACAAATGTGAATATACACTCATTTTAGAGAGACAAATGGAAAATTAGATATGGTCCAGAGAGAGCATTGCTAGGAACATTTAATACGCACATGTAAACAAAAAAGGCCAGCCAGGCTGCATTTAGGAGCAATCCTTTTTACTTCTTCCTCTAGAAATATCATGTGTCCTTTGCTTATTTTCCATGTGGACAAAACTCATCTGTACTATGAATAGAATGACCTTTCAGAGGGAAGGGGAAGGTGATTTTCTCACATGAGCAAAGTGCATGAATGTCACAAAGAAAATGTAGAAAAATGAGACAGACTCTAGAATTGCATTGAATTTAAATATTTCCCTACACAGGATCTATATCAAGCAGGATTTGTATCACAACCAGACCTCCTGCCCTCAGAAACAGAAGGTCACAGATTTGTACCATACCCACATCCCGTGCCTATGAAAGACACCTGTTACAGCTTTGCAATGAGAGTTAATCAATGACAGTTTATAGTAACTCCTTTTTAGGCAGTGACCTGACTTTCCTGCTGGCCATTACTGTTTGCTTTAGTCTAATGGGAACTTCTAGAAGGGAGAAAAGCGCTGTCCCAGTTGCCAGTTCATATGAGTTGGATGTTTTGTGGCATTACAGCTCGCCTCCCAGCTGTGTTGTGTCACAGTGTCCAATGTCACAGTTAGTACAGCCACTGAAGGCCACTGCTCTGCTTTCCACAGCCCACAAAGGGCACCCAAAGCACAGAGGCAGAAGCAGAGCAGAGCATACTGCATGGTGGGCATTCTGGGATGCCTGTCTTCCATCTCTCTTTGGCCTGGAAAG